AAAAAATTCAACTTTCTATCTCCAAACTATTCTCCATCGATTGGACTCAAATCCACCTAAGAACTCTCCACCATAATTTCATTAGCTACATGATTAAAGAAATAGCATTTTGACAAAATGGATAGCTGCAAGTGTATCAGATAGGAATTTCGTCTTCTGGAGGATGGGAGACACGTCCTTAGCCAGTCTCGTTTCTGGGAGTCGACCGGTTTGGTCATTCTATTTACGGTTGTGCCTGTACAAATACGGCTATGTAACTTTTGGGAAGATGAAAAGAGGAATGGTAGATACAGTTCTTGACAGTTTTGATTTGTTTCCGGTCAAAGTACTACCATTCCCCATTTACTAATATTTTGATATACGATTGACCCCAAAGATCTGTACTTCTTGACAGTTTTTTAATAATAAAAAGCCACATAATTTTCGTATATAACGTTTCCATAATAGTTACAGCTAATCATTTCTATCTCATTATCAGAATATATGTTACCTTACAAAAAATTCGTAATTCTGTATAAATAACAGACTATTTTTTTTCAGTCTTGAGAATACAAAACTAATACAATGTCTACACGAATTAAGATGGCTCTTGTTATGAATATTTTCTCTCTTTTATTCTCAGCAACCCTAGTTCGTTCAGATCAAAGTTCAGTGCCTCTTAGATCCTTCAAGGTCAGCTTTCAAACAAAACTTGAGACACACATTTCTTATTTTCTTTTCTATTATTCTACTTAGTTAATTCAACATCGTTATTTTTTCTATACTAACATTAACTGAGTTCAATTCTCATGTATTTTTGTTGTTGTTAACAGATAAATGAAAAGGTAACATACGATTGCATTGATATTTATAAGCAACCAGGACTCGATCATCCTTTGCTTATAAACCACAAAATCCAGGTGCATGATTTTAGAAACTCGAGTCCTACATTTATGCTTCTATAAAATGTGATTTCAGATCAAATAATTATTGACTATACAATTTATTCTTTGGAAAAGATGAAAACATCATTTTCAGCAGATGGATTAAAGAACCAAACTGGCAGCAACAAGTCATATAAAAAGAAAATAAGATGTCCAAATGGAACCGTTCCTATATTAAGAAATATGAAAGAATTCAACACGAGTGCGAATAAGTATTTCCATCCACTATCAGCAGATAGCCCTGGAACACATGTAAGCCTTCATTTTTTTTCTCCTAATACTTTATGTCTAATAATTTTTTGTTATATGTTAATGAATATATATGTATTTATATAGATTGCTGGAGTAAGGTCGCAAACTGGTCCATATCGTGGTGTAACAGCCATGTTCAATGCATATTACCTTAACGTTGGAGAAGACCAAGCCTCATATAGTCAAATATATATAGGGAGTGGATTGAATAACGAAGTCAATTTTATGCAGACAGGTCTGATGGTAAGTCTTACATTTTATTGAGAATTTTTTTATTATTAATCCATTAATTAATCATTTGGATATA